GCTTGCCTTAGTCTTTTGGGAGCAGTTTTGGTTAAATCATGCATAAACTTCTCAGTACTTTTAACATTGTAATTCACCGTAACCTTGCGAAGAATCCGACATAGGCTGTCCTTAAATGGACCCGTACACAGCTTAGTGTCGTAAACGTCACCGTCAAATTACCCCGGCGCAGCAGAATAAAATGGTTTTAATTAACGTGGTGTCTACTGTTTGGCTGTTACACAGGCTGAAATATAATTAGCCACTGGTGATCCCTCACCAAACAGCCTTCCCACATTTTAAAACACGGTTGCCATAGAGATGACGGGAATGAAAAAGCAGTGACGCGAAAGATTGTTAGGGAATTTTTCCCGTGGAAAATAACTGCTGAACATGACACACAAGAAGTAGACATAAGATCATCATCAGTAATAATAATAATAATAATAATGTTGCACTTGTTAATAATAATAGTCACTATAATAATCAATACAATGAATAAGAAAAATAAGATTTGAAATAATTATCTTTACAAGGGGGATGAAAATAAGTTAATGGAAAATACTTGCCACTGGATTACATTTTAACTGCCTTTTTTCCTAATTTATAACATGAGCATTTCACCCGCTTACCTATTTTACCTGTAATTGTATTTAAATACTTGTTTTACCAGTAATTCATTGATGGTTTCCAACGCTTAGTAGCGATCCAAATAAGATTTCCATTGCATAGTGGAACCCACAATAAACTGAATCCATCAATGTAATTAACTTACTTAATGTTTTTTTTTTTTTGGTCTGTACTGGTTTAAACCAGGTAGGTCTATATAGAGGTTGGTCATACGTTCACCTACCTCAAATTTCAAAGCCTTTTCCATCCCTGTATTTTTTTCTGATGAGTAACCAATTGCTTTAATTGTTTGTTTATAAGACAATTCATATCCACACCCTTTAATACTGAAGTAAAATGTTTTGTTGGGGTGAGGTCCGTACGTTTGTCTGCAAAGCACTGCACATCTATGAATGTCTTCAGATTAATTAATGACCTTTCAAAATATTGTACTCAAATCCTTCTTTATTGAAGGAATAGTTTCTTCACAATCACCATTTATGTCTCTTCAATAAAAGTCACTGTGTACACTGTAAAACAGCCTTTAAAAAGATCAGTGTAATTCGCTTTGCACGTGTTATCTTACAATATAAATGTGTTACTCTAACCTTTTGAGTCTGCTAGCTAAAAAAAAATAATTTAAAAATGACATTTTGTATAATAAATACAGGTCAATTCTTGTACTGTTTACGTGGTACAATTCCATAAATAAAGCTCTGAATGTCAAACACTTTTTGCTCTATGTAAAGGCTCAGACCAAGAATACATATCATAAATCATATTGTTTACTTGGTTTTTAGTTTGGTAACAGTTACTCAGCTTCACATTCATTTGGGTGAGTTCCTACAGGACGATATTAGATTATAGAAAGTGCCCAGCTGAATATGCAGGAGCCTTTTCCGCATGGGATACAAACTTACGACCTTTAGGTTAAGAAAGGCCATATCCACGGATGTGATTCTCTCCGTCCTTCAGATACCCAACAAGTGGCAGGTACTCACACTATTTTTATATCCACCCATTCCCTTTTTCATTTTAGCATCACTCCGGTTTCTGTTTGCTTTTCACAGGTGTGGTGAATTCGACTGCTTTTCGGGACAGATGTCCATTGAGTTCTGGTTTAGCGTTAGTCATGATATCTCCGCCAGTCACCATTAACTGCAGGCTAAAGCACTGCGGCACAAACACACCAGGCCTGATTTTACATTTGTACGATCCTCCTTTTTCAGACCAATCATGCGCCCTGTGCTTGGAACACATCATTTTTCACCAATCAGAATATTCATAACCGCTGTAATCCCCCCCCCCAGTAAAAAAGAAAACAGTAAAAAGAGTGACAATTAATTTAAATTTCGCATTAAAAAGGTAATGTTTTACTTTTTGTTTTCGCCATAAAACTTTTACTTGTTTTGTTCAATTTACTTCTCACCAACAATGGGTACACACCTCAGAGTATTTTTAGATATACTGCTGGTGAAATTTTAAAGCATTAAATTATGTAATACTTTATGTAGTATTATTGGAATTAAGTAGGCCACAATGGAGACAAGTCTTACAGTGATGAAACGCATACATTTCTTCTTTGCGCACTTTCAGGATGTGTTCAGGCAATATGCTATTTTTTTTTATTATTATTATTAATGAGTCATGCACTCTGCACATAGGCTATACACCTTGAGTGCTATTTAATATGTGATTCCTTTTTTTCATGGTTAGTTTGCGGAACATCAAAGCACAGTGTATTGCAGTAAAAAGGGCGTATGAGAGAAACAGTGAAAAATCAGCCACACCCCTCACACCTTATGAAAAGGCTGCGTTCATTCATGGACGCTTCCTAGATATTTGAGGCACGTCTGTGTTTTTTTAAAGCCAGATTCCTCTAATGTCCGACTTTCTTAAGATAAATGGACACAAAATTAGCACTGAACCCACCTCCAGCAGCTGTAACAAATTTCACTGCAGTGCTTTACTTTCAATGGGAGCCAGAATGTATAGTAATTCATTTAACTAAGGAATCTGCGGGAGGTTTTTGCACATTGTCTTCTAATTTAAATATGCACTATAGCAACGGATACTCCGCAATCCCGCTTTCAATATCCATATGAATGCGTTGCTCTTGTTATATTACTTCCTTCATGTCACAATACTTCATTCGTACTACATCGTAGTATATTTTCCACGGTCCTACAAATTCGGAAAATTAGCCGTCACTTACTGTATCGATACAGTAACAAAGCTATGAGAATTTCCTGGGGCATAGTGGGAGAAAAAATGTTAAAGACCATAGTATTTGTCCTTGGAAAAGGTTATTTTAGCATCAAATATATAGAAAAAAACTGTTGAAAACGGGTAATGGCCTGTATTGGTCTGGCCCACCTGGTCTACATAGGGACCTCATGCGCATCCAGCCTATCAATCGCTTATAAAAAGAAGCATGTTCCCTCCTTGGGGCGAACACGTAATAAGCTGGAGACAGACAGAACATTCCTCGCAGCCGCCATGGCAACGTGCCGAGAAGGGGGCAGGGAGCAGGGATGGGGGGGGGGGGGGAGAGACTGACAGAGAGATGGAGAGAGTTATGGAGAGGGAGAGAGAGAGGGAGAGAGAGAGAGAAATAAGCCAAAAGAGCAACCCTGGACCTCTAGTGTTATATTACAGCTACTGGGAATGACATGGCTTCTTAAGGATCAGTGTCTGCAGCCTGAAACAGGCTGGCCTGCTTATACGTTCACGTGTTGCTTGAGGATACAGGACAGAACTCAAGAAGGACCTTCCTCTTTAAAACAAGGCCACTCATGTTTCAGCCTGATCTACATCTTGGACTCTTACTAGAATGGTTTCAATTAGAAAATGTAATATCATGCTTAAAAAATTTAAAACACAAAAGTAAATAAAAATGGCACCAACATATAAAACCAGACTCGTGCTCCAAAGTCAAATTCATTTAGTTCAATGTGTTCCTTATATCTTTAATTAAAATCAGATTAGTCCCAAACTTTGGGCTGTTTTTGCCCAAAAGGCAGTTATGTTTTAGATCCGCCCAAACCAAAGCACACAACTCTGCACCACTCTCTCTCCTCCCCTTCTCGTTTCCGGCTGGGAATCTGTAAACCAATCATTTTCCATTGTTCCCCCAGAACGCCCGAAGGCAGCGCCATCTTGAAGCCACGACCAGGGATGAAACATATCCCCTCTTCAACAAAACCAACCCGGGTTCATTGGACTTAACACATGATTCCGTGTTTGCGTGGGGGGGGGGGATTCTCATACGTGCTGCTGACTGTTAAGCTAGCAGGCCGTGCCGCAAACCTCTAACCTTTGCGTGACGACCTTTCACCTGTCATGACACATCTTTGCTCCGCCTTCCAAGCTCGTATGAATTGAAAGCCGCCCAAAAGTACTTAAAAAAAAAAAAAAAAAAAGCAGAGGTACAATTTCACAGGGAATCAAAAGGCGGCCCGCAGAAGAAATGCAAACATTTCACATTATAAACAACTTCTCGACCCAGCAGCCTGAGCACGTGGATTGAGTGGATGCGATGAGGTCACACTTCCTGTCAGAAGGAGCAGACTGCAGCAGACTCAGACAGGGAAGGAGCCAGCACTGGTATAAAACCACCAGAACCAGCCTGACCCAGCTGGTCTCATCCATATCTGCAAATTCATCCCCTGTGATAACTTGCCTTTATTAGCCACTTAAACACAAGAACACGTGGAGGGATGGGGGGGATGGTCACTTGGATATTTATTAGACATTCAGAAAAGTAATTAATCCTTGCAGGTAATTTCAATTATGCTAGGCTTGCTGCCTGCTGAGTGTGGTAATAAATGGATTGTGATCACAGAGAAGCTGGCCAGGGATGGACTGATTACTGCCCACACGGTATGGAAGGATGACGCGGTAAAACTGTTAATATGCTTCACGTCACTAATGGTGACATGCTGGGCGTTTACACCCTCCTTCCTCCCACATGGAAACAAAGGCTTTGGCTTCCTTCTTCTGCGATGCTCTGAAAATCAAGTGGGATGGACGGCCTTTCCGGAAACACCCCTTACTCTGAATCCATTCCCAATGAAGAAGAACAGAAGAGCATCCAGGCAGCCTGAAGCCCCAGGCGATCACGACCATCCGCTCGACTTCTGCACTCTTTCATAAGCCACCAACATTGCTCTGAGAATCTTCCAGAACCTCGGACAACTAAATAGAGACCAGCCAATTCCATCTGAGAACTTTCTGGGTTTGTGGTTGAAGTACTTTGATTCCTTGTTATTTGCATCCAATACACTCTTGTGACATATCACCACTACACCAGCATCCCACATCCCACAGCTCAGCACAAAATCACAGGGAGTGTCCGTGCACAGCAGCAAGCCCGCCCCAAACAAAATGCTCCTGCAGAGGAATTCTCCTACCTCAGATCAGCGATGGATGGAGTTATGACCTTCTCCAATGTCTGGGCCCTACAAGGAAATAAAGAGAGATGAGCGAATTGGCCTCCATCCATGACAGAATTACCACCGTCAGCCATGGCAGGGTGACCACATGCGATTCGGGCGTGAAACGCAAGCTTGTTTTGTGTCGACGTTCTTGTGATTCGGAGAGGTAGTGAGACGTGGCTGTGGTGTGTAGGAGACCTGCGCCAAAGGCAAGGAGGCGGCATCGCTGTAACAACCAAACATTAAACTAGCCCGGCAAACGAAAGTGCAACCTCCACTCGACCGCTAACGTCACCAGCCTCTCGTCACGTTTCATGCGTGATTCACTGTCCGACATCAGTGTGATCTTCAGATAAACAGCATTGCTGCCGGAGCAGGTTGGATTTCCAGGATTTCCCTTGGAATCCCTGGGAATCAGAGCTTTTGTCTGCATGACTGTTACAATCGGCGAGAGGTGTGTTTGTTTCGTTTATGTCGTTCACATTGGAGCTCCTTTCGTCAAGAGAGTAAAATAAAGACTATGAGGGAGACAGAGTTTGACAAAGCCATGCTGGCTTTTGTCCTGGAGAGCATGGCTAACACATGCATGTAATACATGTGCATCACACATGTAAATGAGGAAGAATCCTGCCTTATATATTCAGTAATGGGACTGCATTGCAATTCACAATTACTGAAGAGTTCAATAGTGCACCACTGTATACCACTGTATACCACTGAACCCTTTAGGCAAACATTATTTTTAAATTATGAATAATAATTATGCAACCATTAAGCTTAAAATGATACATCCCAAACACTAGAGCAAGATGTGAATATATTATTGAAACTTAAGTAAAATTAAAATAAACAAAAATGCTATACATATAATAGATTTACATGTTGATATTGAATTAATCAATTAATTATTAATATATTTATTTTACTGAAAATATTCTTCTCAGGGTTCACCATAGAATTTGATATTATGAATATCATGGCACCACATTAAAAACATAGATTTCAACTGTATGTATTCATAATGTAATATGCATATATTAACAGTTGTCTTGGATTTATATTACATTTGTTTATTTTTGTCTCTCTTTTTTAGCATTTACAGAACAGACTTATACAGACATACGACTTATCAAGATAATGTTATGCATATCTGTTATTTCTCTTTATAGAAGGAATACTATCAAAAAACATTGCTTTATCCAATCTTCAGTGAACATAAACACATCCGGAAGAATATCATTTCAGTTTATCAATCTGTGGTCATTAAGTCTTTTAATAAAGAAATTAGCTAAAATAAAGCTTCATGACATACTGGAGATAGAGAAGAGCTTAAGGACATTCTCGCTTTGTATATGCGATGATGCACTACATTTCCCATCACTGTTACTTAATTATTAAAACACACAATCTTAACAGATAGATCGCTGACAAGGCGCCCTGCTTCGCAACGGCTTTTGTTTCACTGTCACATAATATGAGAAAACTGGTGCAAATCACGCAGTGCACGCTGTAAAAAAATCACGCAAACGCAATTCCCCACAAATGAAAAACTTAGATACCCGACAATGAATACGGCAAAAATCAATGGGCAACTTACCATTCATCTTGTCAAATCTTCACGCAGGACTGCATATCAAAGAGAACGTATTTTAAAATATTTTAACACATCGTCCCGAATTAGTTGTTTCACGGTGGTTTAAATGTTTTATCTACACACCACACGACGGAACAGAATTGAGACGCGGAATAACGCCTGTGAAATGGGGCTCAGTGGCCGGCAGCCGCCTGACCGCCCCGCACGCTGGATCCGCAGCCAGGAGAGCTCTTCCGGCTCTTTGGAGAAACAATGGTGCAGGATCGGGCTGATAGAGTTACACCAGCAACGTGACTCCGGCTGGCCAACCCTCCCCAGACGGATTAAAAATATGGAGCCGTCCAGGGAGGCGTGAGGAAGCGGACGAGCTGCAGTGAGCGGTGGGAGCTGGCTGGCGAGCGCATCTGAGGAAGAGGCGTCTTTCTATACACGGACCTATGACACACACAAACACACACGGCTTTGTATTCATATCTTTGTAGGGACTCTCCATTCATTTCTATGGGAAAAACCCATATCCTAACTATGACAACCTTAATCCCTACCCAGCCCTAACCTTAACCATAAGTAACAAACAAATCAAACAAAATACAACACTTTTAGCTATTTTAGTTTTTCATTGCAGTCACTGATTTTTATAAATATGAGTTTCCCCCGAAAAAAGTGGTCCCCACAATGTAAAAATAAGAGGTTTTTAATCACACACACACACACACACACAGAGAGAAAGACATTGGATATCTATATCTCTGTGGGGACTCCATTCATTTATATGGTCATAACGCTAATCCAAACTATGATGAACTTAACCCCTACCCAGCCCTAACCAAACAAATGAGTAACAAGTAACCAAACAAAATACAAGACTATTGCCTATTTTAATTATTTTGATTGCATTAAGAGATATTTATAAAATTGAGTTTTCCCTTGTGTAAAAATGTCCCCACAAGGTAACATATTATATCCATTCATCCATCCATTTTCCATACTGCTTGATCCATCTGGGTCACGAGGAAGCTGGAACATATTATATTTATATATACATAATTATAGAGAATATATGGAACATTTTTGAAGAGGAATGACCTTGTATTTATATGGTGTGTAACTCAAAAGTTTGTCATAATAATGACATTATACTAACTTAAGTAAAGGTAAATGTTACGTTGTACTGTAGCTTTTAGAAAGTGTGTGACATTCAGTAAGTCAATAAGAGCCTAAATTAGTGGTTCGGCTGGTTAGTGCTGAGTCCTCACACCTGCAGGGTTATGGCTTTGCATGGATTTCCTCTGTGGGCCGTAGGTTATTCCAATAGCACTGGACATACAGCTTAAGTGGATCGGTGTCACTAAATTGCCCTTTGTGTGTGCATGTGCATGCAGGCCTGTGTGTGTGTGCATGTGCATGCAGGCCTGTGTGTGTGTGTGTGTGTGTGTGCAGGCCTGTGTGTGTGTGTGTGTGTGTGCAGGCCTGTGTGTGTGTGTGTGTGTGCAGGCCTGTGTGTGTGTGCATGTGCAGGCCTGTGTGTGTGTGTGTGTGT